AAACCAGTACCTTAAACTGGTCGTCCATCATCACCCTAATATTGAAGCGCCCACAGTGACGACTGACGTGGCCAGCTTAAATAAATAAATGGTATATTCGAAGTTGCGTCTAGGAATAGCATGAGCAATCGTCGTAACAGCTACACCTAGATGATCAAGTTTGGTTTATTGCATTTGTTGAAGAAGTTTCCAGTCGATGTACTCCGGTATCACACATCATCCAGCCCTTCTTCCTACAGCTTTTCTTCATCAAGTTGAATTTTCAAGATGCATTTCACTCTGTCAGTTGACAGATAAACCTTTATCATTTTCTTGAACATGCAAAAATGTTCAATAAATCTAATCTCTTTTGGCAGCTTATTCCATATGGAACCATACCTAAGAGGGTAGAAATTTCTCCTTAGCCTGATCTTGAATTTAGATAAAGAGAATATACATTCACTATCTCGCAGTTCAGAAATGGTATTATCCCGAAAGTGCAATTGATAGATTCCAACGTATGCTTTCCGCCACGCGAGTTTGTGGAGAAAGCACAGATTTCGTCGAATTCTTCGGAACCACAGAGATTCAAAATTCAGCTCATTGCACCTATCTCTGTAAGAAAGAGCGGTTAAATAGTCAAATATACGCTTGGTGAAGGCTGGTTGAACGTTTTCAATGGCTCTCAAATCAAGTTTTTGCAGTTTACTGAACGTAACACAGCAATATTCAAACAAACGTCTGATACTAATTTTGAAAGCAATTGGTCTGGTCTCTTTCAAGGTTAGCCCGACCGACTGCTTGGCCTTTTTCACGATATGATTTGTATTTTCGTCAAAATTCAAGGAACTAGAGTATCTCAAGCCTAAGCCACAGACAGACTAGCTAATGGGAATGACTTCGTAATGAATTCTGAACAATTCTGTTGCTATCTGACATCCATACGCTAGAATACTTCACTTCGATGTTGCAAACGTCATCTGCCACATATCAGCCCATCTCTCAATGGCTTTCAAGTAGCTTTGGATATTGTTAAGTTCAGCGGTATGTTGAGAACTTGAGAACGTGTAAACAACCTTAATATAAGCGAAAAAAGAAGGCTTCCCAAAGTGCAAAACAGAAACTAGATCATTTATATACAGTAGGAAGAGTAACGAACCTAAGACACTACCCTGCACCATTCCACTGGTGACCAGATGAGGTGAAGAGATGTTACTATTGAGATACACAACTTGTGAATGTCCCATTAGGTACGATTGGATCCAAGAGTGAAGCGAATGTGTCACTGTTACGTGTTCAACCAATGATCGCTCACTATGACCGTGAACCTGATTGGCCCTATACATACACGTAGATAAGCACGCACACACGCACTCAAGGACACATCCTAACGTTCCGTGCTCTCATGTAAAAATTCAAGTGTTCAGTACACTGTGCGCCAGACTGACGCGTCTTCTTGCTTATTCGCTACGAGTTGAATACGTACTTGCGGTTAGAATCCAGTTGTGAGCAGTTTCTTGTGTGAGACTGTCAAACGCCTTTGCATGTCAAGAAAGATGACAACGCACTGAAGACCTGAGTCAATTGCTTCAGTTAGATGGTTAAGGAAGTCAACTTGACAGGTAACACACGAGCGGGACTTCAGAAAGCCATGCTGTGAAGGTGAGAGAAGTTGGTGATATACTAGGAACGAAACCAAATGTTGCTTAATGGAATCCTCCGTCGCAGACTTGACGAGCTTCATACAGTTGTAACGATCACTAAATTGAGAAAAAAGCCCACCAAAAATCTCGTTTAACAAAGGCACAAGTTGATCGAATGTAATCTTTGGGACATGTTGGAAGAATGAACTTGTGAAACCTGTCGTGCCCCTTCGACCATAACTTCGCAGAAGCAGCCGGCATTTCCATCCTTCATCAGCATCGGGAAATTCAGACCGGAAAAGCAAGAGTCGAAGTTAACGTAAGTATCTGGGTCATATTGAGATTCGCAAATACTGTTCGACACGGCATCTGCTAAAACGGGCTGCTTTTCACTGCTCGGTTTTAGCTGCTGCACAACCAAACGCTGAAGGAGATTTTCAATAAACCTTAATTGGCTTTCTTCAAATGGCTTTTGCTGATACTGGAGAATGGAGGTCAGTTATTCCATTGAAACCGACATTATTGAGATCTTCGATCCAAAAAACCTGTCGCCAGTTGTTCAAGACCACCGCTTCACTCAAATTGGCTGTGCGAACCGTCTTCCTTCACTCCGATTGGCTGTTCGACTCCGGCCCCGGATTGGCTGACAACAATGGCTGGCCCTTATACCATATTCGCCGAACGACAAGACAAAACATGAAGCATGCGGGTTACATTTATAGGTGTTAGGCGACCTTCCTTCCTTCCTTGGCAAAAATAGCATCAGAATCCTTAGGAACATTTTTTTCATTGATAAACAAGACTGTGTGAAGAGATCTTGGCACAATCCGTTGGTTCTAGTCGAAAACAGGCGCCACGAGTCGATTTGTTAGGAGGTACCCCTACAAACAGTTTGAGAATGTTTACATACTTATCGGGCACACTTATTCTGAGCAGTCCCAAAGGGCACATCGATGCATTGAGGTTAGAAACACGACTACAGTGGGTCACCAATCATTATGGTAGCGCTCCAACGAAGGATGTAATGTAAAGATATTATAAATACAGCCCCCACTTCAAGGGGAACTGGCCTACTCCTCGCGAATCTGGCTTTTATGGATGCCGGCAAGTTTATAGAGAACAACAAAGTAACTTATAGGCAATCGACGTCAGATTGACTCCTTTATGACTTCCGCATTCGGAAGTAAACTTCCCTTGAAAATGGGGACTATAACGGGACGACACCACTCTTTTGGGACAGGCTCCAGCTCTGACAGCTTCACTAGTAAATTGCGCAAATCCCCATAGACCAACCATGAAGTCTATCTACCTCTGCGGCCTTATTCAATTTCAACAGTCTGATCTACGTTCGACTTCTGTGTGTGATGGCGAATCCAAGGAGACGGCCAAGGGGAAGAGCAATCAGCGCGTGAAAAGGAAGATGGCAACTATGGTCGATTTAACGGCATTTCAGTATTTGGTCCAAGGCTTGTGGAATAACTGTCTACTCCGGCGAATCGCAAGACCTGGTTCAGCCGTGGAAGCAAATGGGCAGAGATCACGTGGCACAAATCGAAATCGCCATCTTCAAAAGTCACCTGCCAGTGCATGACGGACTGACAATTCACTAAGCAGCAATACACACTGCCTTTTACTGCACTGAAGATGCCACCTCGCATGGTGGTGAAACGTATGCGATTTCTTAATCAAGCTCGGAAAAAACGATCAACAGGTGAGCAACCAAGCCGGGCTACCAGTGTTCCAAATTATTTCGACTGTCTACTATTGTTGTGCATGGTTTCCTGATGCTCATTTCCCGTATCAGATAGAACAACTTACGATGGTTAGCAAGGGCAACAGCTATCTCCGTCTCCGAGCCGTCACCCACGACGCAGTGACACAAATCGCTGACTCTTAAGAGGGTTCGGATCCGACAAGGCCTGACAGATAGGCGCTACTGACGAGTTCCCATAGGACGAAAAAGCCGTGTAGTACTTTTCCGGATGTGGGTTGACTGTGCGGCTAAGTCGAGCTGCGATGAAGCTTCTTAAATAAAATATGTTCCCTTAAGACGCTCAAATCGAACCACTTGTTGTGTGTGTGAATAGATTGTGAAGCGTAACCTCATTCTCATTGAGGTGAACCTCAGTGAATTCAGTCACTGGCAATGGCCGTAACTCATGAAGCGGAGGTTAGCTACTGTACCCTATGCAAATCTCGACCAATTTTGAACTTGATTGATCTCTAAAGCAGTTAGTTCCCTTGAGAAAGTCGAACAGTGCGGTAAGAAGACGAAAGCTGGTAAGTGCATGTATTTCGTATTGTCTCCTCCGTATCATTGGCATTGACCGATATACAGCTACATAACTAACTATGGGTGTGACCGAACAAGCATAAGGTACAAAATGAATGACGAAAGTTTTTAGATCCATGACAGCATTAGGCTGTTTTTCAACACATAGAGTCGGCTTCATCGGAGCTTATCGCAACGACCTCGGAGAAATGGAGGAAGCGGGGATTAGGGTGACGTAACACAAGTGTGTGATCTATCCGGGATGCGTAACCAGTAGATTTATCTATTGAAGAATCTGGCGGCCTGCGCGAGCACAGAACTTCAGTGGGGCAGGGATGCCGGTCAATCTCACACTGAACCCAACTTGGCATGTGTTCCTTTATTCGGGAAGTCAAAGACCGACCAGTACTGCATATGGAACTGCCCCCAGACTGGTGGACCTTCCATCCTTGGAGGCACGGCAAGTTACATGTTCGGTCAATGATCAAAACTTGAGCGGCACTGTAACCTCTGCTTGGCAGAGATTAAACTTTCCGTGGTTTTGAAGACAGCAGTCATCCTTGAAAGGCAACCAATATAGATGTTTTTATTCGCTGCCGTATGCACCAAGTCTTTAGAGGTTCGCTGTTGACCGCGTCTCTCTATAATGCTGCGAGGATAACCAGTCACCATGAGTGCCGTTGTAATGAATTCTAGCTCGTCGGTCAGACAATCAGTAGAGCTAATTCGTATAGCACGACTAACTTAAGTTCTCCCAAAGTAGAGAAAGTACGACCAAAACTTGAACCCATGACGTAGGTGTTACGAATCGAGTGAAAACAAGTGGAGACTGGTGATGGAACGCAGTGTTGTAAGTGGGTACCTCCTGGAATTTGGCTCTCCCCGGGATCCACATCAATGTGAATCGCCATCCAGATTAGGATTTACATTGAAATGCATTCTCACAGAGGTGTTTCAAAACGATCCCTCCAAATGATTTGATTATCGTGTTATGATTATTTATTTATTAGCTGACTTCAGTACCCGTGATCTAATTCAACTAGACCAAACTGCATCCACAATCGAGGCGGGGATGGAAAAGCCAGGAGATGAACAACAACACATACTTCGTTAGACTTTAGTCGGGCAGAATCGGGATGGTGTTCTTCCGTTTCCAAAAGATTCTTCGCCACACCCATTGCGGATACGCCGAGTTGAAGACCGAATTGGCAGGCGCACCCAAATCCTCGGGGATGAAGTGTCCCGTTGCCATCAATCATGAAAACGTCCGGCAAACGATCAGGGCATTCCGACTTCAGCATGGACACAAGTTGTTCGAATGGACCGACTTCTCGGTAGCCAAGAAAGGTAGGCACATAGGGGACGGTCATCCGGACGGAAAGGGACACGTGATGAGCCATCTGCAAAGTGAAGTTGGCAAGAAGTGGAAAGTATGAGATGACAACGACGAAATTCGATCAGAGAAAAAAGAGTGGGCCACATTTAACTGAAGGGAAAAGCTGGCACGCAAATTCTTTCGTATCTATTAATTACGCACGACGCGTCAGTTAGAGTATACATCATAGATGGAGTTATCGTAGTGTTGCGTAAAGAGATGTCCCTGAAAGCACAGATGCGGCCAAAAGTGTCTACTAGCAATGATGCAGATAGTCGGCATTTCAACTAATCACCATTTCGCAAAAGGTCGGAGAGTATCACATCGTGCGCAAATGCGACTACTTCTATGCGAACACCAGAAACCTATCTGTAGATGAGCTCAAAAAGGTCGCATGATCGAGTGGCATCACACATACAAATTTTTCGGCAGCATTATGACAACAATTCACCAGACCCAGCCAAAAGACATCGTCCGGTTTATCACACAAATATGTCATAATGGTAAATAAATCTTTGGTCACCTAGCATCGACGATATTACGAAAACATTCGCCGTAGACCACGGTGATTTTGTGCAGCACCCTGCAGAGAAGAAGAACAGGACAAACAATATGGAATGGTTATACCATCCGAGCTCCTTACAGAAGCTAAGCTATGCCTTCTGTGGGTCCGTTGATCATCTCCTTCGGTTGGTAGACGGTGTCCGTTGATCTCAGCAAGTTTGCTGCAAACGTTTCGCCACCAGTCGCGGTGAAATCACCAATGCGCGTTGGTGTAGCGTAGCAGCTACAGAGTCAAGACTGTTGCTGTATTCTACTGAACTAATACTACTACTACGATTGACGACGACTACCACTACTACTTCTACTACTTGTGTTTTATCCTACACTAGCATTGCGAATTAGTACTACTGTGAAAGCTAAACGAGTCGCGACAACTGGCTGCACCACATGCTCCACTGACCGGATCATTGCGGTTTAACTGGACTGAAATTGGACAGAGATATTAGAATTAACTAGTGCATCGTTTGGTTCAAACAAACCTACAACGAACAGTGAGTAAGCCACCATTTTATAACCCATCAATGGTGATCAATGCGAATTCTCAATTTATGTAGTGAAAGCCATTCGAAGAGTCTAGACTGAAAACGGTGTTTTTCGAAATCACAGGCTGATAAAAACACAGTATCTAACTTTAATGGTACCGTATATGCCTGTTGGTAGATACAACGTTACGCATAGATCGCATAATGATGATCTTGAGAGAAAGCAGTCATGTTTGTGTTTCGAATAGTTACCCGCAGGGAGATGCTAACGGACTGCAGTTGGAGAACTTAGGTTCACAACAACTTTCACCAACGCTAACCTTACAGTAACAGTAGAGTTTTGGGTTAGTATTCGCCCTCAACACATTCTCCAGTTTGGTTCCTATTTATCACGAGCAGGCCAATCTGACAGCGCATATCCGGCTACTGAATAGGATCCAATCTATCAGAGCAGCTTCAGCCCTGGATATCAGAACAATACTCACACCGAGTTGACAGGCATTCGAAGCCGCATTATCTCCGGATAGATACTGTGAGAAAATACCGCCAGTCTCATGTGAGAGGATTGTAGGAAGAGCGCATAGCTGTAGCTTTGCATCTGTTTCCGACAAACAGCAGAGATCGATCGACAGATTCCCTAATGTCCAGGCCAATGTTGCCTGATCTGTTAAAGTATGCCACTCTGATCGAGAATCGATGGCTCTAAATAGAGCAGATGAACTGAGGTTGTCCGCTTGGTTGAATATTGACTTGTCGACTGAGCAAGAGCAACGCAAAGTGATTACATGTGGGTCGAAACTAGAAGGCAACTATTAAAACAAAACTGTGGCAACGAGAATTAAAGGGATTGAGAACAAGAGGGATAAAAGTGGTTGGTGTGGGACGTTAAGGATGAAAAAAGCGTAAGAGGGGAGATACGAAGACGGGGAGGCAGTAGCATCCAAACCCCTATCCACCCTGTTCGATGCAGCAGATAGGGCACCGTTGCATATCCTCCACGACGGCCAAAGTATCAAGTAATTACATGAGGGGAAGTTCCTTTAGGGATTCCAAATTGGCCAGACTGATCACGAAATCCACAAGTAGTCAGAGAAGCAACACGAATGCAGAAAATATAAAAGCAGGGATTAAACAGAAGAGTTTAAAAAACAGATCAAGAAAGAAATCATGAAATCATGTGAAAAAATCGTTAGAATGTTTCGGAATACTGGAAGCTAGGGTTGTTGACTCAATTGTTCATTTGTTCTCCGAGCTTGGCGGTTTTGCCGCAAACGCTTCACCACCATACAAGGTGGCACCCTCAGTGCAGTGAGATGCGGCGTGCAATCTTACTGAATGAGAATCGTCCATCCGTGATCGACCTGCAGGTGACTTTTGAAAGCGGCAATGTCGATTCACGACCAGTGACCTCTATTTACTATCCCTAAGACTAAAGTCGGCGCCGGAGTTGGACGTATTAGTAACATGAACTATGGAAGGCGAGCTGCAAACATCAGTCTGCAGAAAAGGCCCGCAAACGGAGCAAATTCTGAACTTTAACAGCAACCACCCGAAATGCCACAAGGTAAGCTGTGTGCGGACACTGTTTCGCAAACTTCAAATACAAGCAGTACCACAGAAGCAAAAGGAAGAAAAGCACCTAGTTAAATGTTTCCAACTCAACGGATACCCACGAAGCTTCATCCGAAGGTGTCTGAATCACAACAACGTAAACATACAGCCTACAACAACAGCAGCAACAACAACAACAACAACAACAACAGAGAGACGGGTTGTTCTGTCTCACAAGAAGAATATATCGAAAATGACAGCCAGACTATTCAAACATCATCATCATTTCATCGTGGCACACAAACCAACTGCCACGTTGAGAAAAACGCTTTCAAAACCAAAAGAAATACTGCAGGTACATGAACAACGTAATGTGGTATACAAAAATACGTTGCCGAGATTGCGAAAGAGATTATGTTGGCCAGACAGGAAGAAAACTGGTAACAAGGATACAATAACATAAAAGAGTCTGTGTAAAGCATTATGCACCGTCGCTAGTTTCATTACACGTAGATGAAGAAGGACATAACTGCAATTGGAGCAAAGCAGAAGTCCTGGCACAGTGTGAAACAAGAAAAGAAAAGGAACACATGGAAGCTTGGTTCCCAACGAAAAACACAATTAACATACGCGTCGACATCGATTCAATGTAAGAAACACTTCGACAGAAAGAAATCACGAACATTTTGTCACGCGGTTTAAGACAGAACAACTCGGGCGCCGACTTTAGTCTTGGGGAAAGTAGGTAGAGGTCAGAGGTCGCAAATCGACATTGCCGTTTTCAAAAGTCACGGATGGACGATTCTCATTCAGTAAGATTGAACGTCGCATCTCACTGTACTGAGGATGCCACCTCGCATAGTGATGAAACGTCCGCGACAAAACCGCCAAGCTCGGAGAACAAATCGCAAGAAGTATAATTGACGTGAGCAGAGACGATTTATTAACATGCTCAGGTCGTTTAGAATAGAAACAGAAGTAAAATGTGAACAACGTTTGCAGTCCGGTGCGGATGTGCACCTCTAGTATTCCGCCAATGGAGATAATTAGTTGGCTCTGATGGTGGTTAAACTTCTGGGAATTCACCATAAGCATGAATAGTTATAGCAGTATATGTTGTAGCTCCTAGATACACAGCAGAGAGTATGACAATCAGAGGAAATTGGGGGTACGCGGTACAGGAACACAACAGGAAAATTTGATTAAAGTGTCTGGAGAACTGCGATGTATCCGCCGATATTGCGCTGCGCGTATGATATCTAGCAGGCAGAGGTACCTAAGACCAAAAGTAATTCTTAATCGTTATGACGGCATCGCCTGCGTAGCCCAGACGGTCAATTTGCAGCACATAAGCTGAGGTGTGTTTCTCACCCTCGTCGAACCTGTAAGCTGCTGACAAAACGGTCAATAAGCGAGAATAACCGGTCTCATTCTATCCAATCGCTAGATGGCCGACGAAAACAACGCACGTATTGATAGGGCCTTTTTGGATTTTAAGACCACAATAAGGTTAAAAAAACAGAAGTGAGGCCCAACCCCCGCTTTCGCACTCACTTGTTATAATATGTGCTGATTTGGGATTCGTCACTCAAAGAACAGTACGCATTTAGGGGCGTCCACGCCCGTTGTATGCGATTTGATAGCGCTAAGGACCATCTTGAGAGGTTCGTGGAGCAAGATGACATCCGTAAGGAGGAATTTGAAATTGCTATGGATCCAATTGACAGCATTCCAGCTTTCACATTAGTTACGTAGTGTAGCCACCAAAATGGACCGCAAGCAACGGTGCGAGAAGAAAGAGAGCTAGCGCAAGTCAACGGTTCGAAGAGGCCACGTCTCACAACTGTACAGAGAGGGATGTCATGGCAGCGACGCAGATGCTTTAGTCTGGAGAAAGCGAGAAGGGCACTTAAGGTGCGCGCATGGAAATCTCATCTCCGACAGCTCCTAGGGGTAGACAAAACTATCCACAACTTCCAATGTCTCACCACAGAGATTAAGGGGAGACACAGGCATCTAACAGTTTTGAAAAAGAGCTTTGCACTTGGATGAGGAAAAAGCCACCCCATACTTTGATGTTTCAATCGTCAAGCGGTTAAATGCAAGTTGGACGGCCTGTGGAAAGTCACCCAGCAAGACGATATTATCAGCGTAGTCCAAATCAATAACTAGACTACCTGGGACGAGCTCAACGTCAGCGTACAGCGAATCTTCCGGAGCGTTTTGAGCACATTATCAATGGCAAAATTGAAGGGGAAGAGGGAAATAGAGCACTCTTATCAAACTTCACTGGTGACAGCAAATGGGAGCGAAAGCTTGCCATAAGCTCTAATCCTATTCGAGCTCAAACTGCACATAGCACGCAGTACGGGGACGCTATTGTTCAACAGATAGTGCCACAATTCAGTCCTGCCGACAGCATCGAAGG